GAAAGGTGGAGAGGGGCTTTTGACAAGGCCAGGTAGGGACAGGACAAAGGGGAATGGCTTTAAACTGACAGAGGGGAGACTGAGATGAGATGTGAGGAAGAAGTTCTTCCCTGTGAGGGTGGTGAGGAACTGGCACAGGCTGCCCAGAGAAGCTGTGGCTGCCTCATTGCTGGCAGTGTTCAAGGCCAGGCTGGCTGGGGCTTGGAGCAACCTGGTCTAGTGGAAGGTGTCCCTGCCTGTGGGAGGAGGCTTGGAACTGGATGAGATTTAAAGGTCCCTTCCAAGCCAAACCATTCTGTGATTCTATGATTAACCTTGACATCAAAAAAGGCCCAGGAATCAGTACAGGTTACATTGCTTTGTGGTTCAGTTGATGAATAATTTATTAGTGGTACAAATATAATCTCACTGATTTGAAGCAGGAGAAATATATCTACTGGGCGTAGAAGAAGAGATGCTAAGATAGCTCCGAACTTCTACTATGCAACAAATATTTCTCTCTTATCTTCCAAAGTATGGGATTCAGCTCTTCTAACTCAAGGAACAATTCACACACCTGTGTAGATCTCTGACACCATTTGGGAAGTCCTAGGGCACGTTGTCCAGCCTTTGACTCTCACTCCAGGCATGGCAGCTCTTCCATAGTCCTCTGTGAGACTGGTCATTCCCATCTCTTTCTGTAATTAATGGAAAGGCAGCTGCAGAGAGTGGTTTATTTTGTTTTAAGATGAGATTATTCACCCTGTAGAGATGCTTTTCTCCCCATCAGTGATAAAGGAAGCCTGGAGTGAATAAGACCGTAATCTCTAGCTTTGGGACACACAGAGCAGATGAATTCCACTCACTCTGTCTCCTGTGTCTCACCTGGAGTGGAAAACTAAGATATATAGCAGGCAGTAATTTCCCACAGCAATAAAACGATCCTGGCATCAGTTTCAGTCTCCTAAAGCTCCTGTACCAAATCCTGAATCTTATTAAGTGGCATGGGTTTTCTTTTTTTTTTAAAAAGATAATGGTAATCAGTTCAGTGCTTATGCCCCTACATGACTTGAGCCTTACACTAAGCACAGCTTGCAAAGCAGATGGAGATAAAAGTAGTACTGTATTATTTTCACATAAGGCTCTTGCTCCAGTCGCTGGTTATGAATCATTTCACATCCCAAGACAACTTAAGTCCCCAGTACCTCAGTGTAGTGCTCTATCTCCATTAGAAAGTTAAACAGAGAGCCCAGCTCATGACTATCATGTAGCAACTACCATTTTTGTCCTTAGTAATTGGAAGAAGTGGGACCATAAGAGATACAACCACCCCTGTTCTTTCCCATAGTGCTAAGCCAGCTACTGTGATATCAGCAGACTTTTTGTCCTTGACTTTCAAGGGCACTGAGCAATCTCTTTGTGCTTTACTTGAAAGCTGGCAGTCTTATTCTTTATCAGTCTCCAGGAAATATGGCGCTAATTCGCCTGGCAATTTTTTCTCAAATGTGAATAGAGGATTTCCTGGCTTAGCTGAACTCCAGAGTGCTTTTAGGAAAACAATAGATCTTGATTTTAAAGTGGCTAGAGAAAAAGCACATACACTGTCCTCTCCTGTAAGTTGCTTCCCCATTTGTTGTCCCTGTTAAAAGTGTATGTTTATGTCTCGCCTGACAGCGCCTTGAGTTCTTGCTCAGCTACTGAGTATTTTTTTGCCGGCCAGCCTGAAAAGGTCTGTGCCTTCTGCTGGTTATAATGTAGCTGTAGCTCTATGGGCAGCTGCACCGTGAAATCTTGCTGCCTTGAACGCGGCAGACCCAGCTCTGTGCTTTCCAGATGTGGTACGCTACCCACCTGCAAGCTGACAGTGTTGTGCTGCCAATAATGCCATATGGGTACCTTGCTTTCCTTTTGTAAGACAAGTAAAAGCTCAATTACTCTCAACCTGTTGCTGACCCTCATGGAAGAGCAAGGATATAAGTATCTTGATTGCTTCCTCGGTCACAGATTGTTACAATTTCATGTTGGTTTAGGCAATTCACTTCACCGGTCTTGTCCTGTTGTGATGTTTAGATAGCTCTGAGTGTGCTTCCACTGCAACACCTCGGTAGCAAGTTGTTTAAAGGAAGTGATACTTTTGGCAGCAAAATTCTGTAAAGGTGTAGAGGAACTGCTGCACTTGGTAACTTTACGCCAACCTCAGAACACTGAGAAAGGTGTTTTACTACTTTCCTTTTCTCTTTTGTGGTATGGAGATGTCATGCAGAGCTTGTTCCGGGTTAACACAATCCTCTTTCCTTAGGAGAGACTGGACAAGTACAGGACAAACTTTTAGGGAGTAAAATTTACAGCAGCTGGTCTATGTGCTGGTGTAGATGCATCTGCAATTTTTTTTACTCCTATTGGATGATAAATGTTCACACTTGGAACCAAAAGTACAGATTGTTTCGGTTGCTTTCTTGGTTTAGTCTCAAAGGTCTGATACATTACTCATGATAATGTAAAGCCAGAGAAGGTTACTTGACTTTTGAAGTGTACAGGAAGTTGGATGCTTGCTCCTTTCTCATAGTGTTAATGTGGCATGGAGGAACTCGAGCTAAAATAGAAAACAGAACACGTAAAACTGCTCACACAACATCTTTCCAAGCACAAGGCTCTGCTTGCCTTCAGAACCCCTTTCCACAAAGTATAAAAGAGACAAAGAACTTATGTAGGTGATGTAGGCTGGAAAGTTGAGCTTTTATTTAGAAAAGAAGAACCCCCCTCAACTAGATCAGTGGACAAAGGAAAGGCTATGGTTGTTGTCTATCTGGACTTCTGTAAAGCGTTTGACAAGATCCCCCACAATATTCTTTTCTCAAAATTGGAGAGATTGGAGATGGATTTGGTGAGTGGACTGATCAGTGGATGAGGAATTGGCTGGATGGTCGCATCCAGAAGGTAGTGGCCAATGTCTTAGCATTTAGATGGACACCAGTGACATCCCTTAGGGGTCTGTACTGGGGTGTGTACTGGCACCAGTAGTGTTTAATATCTTCATCAATGACATAGTAGGATTGAGTGCATCATCAGCAAGTTTGCAGATGACACCAAGCTGAGTGGTGCAATTGACATGCTAGAGGGAAGGTATGCCATCCAGAGGGATTTGGACAAGCTCAAGAAGTGGGCCCATGCGAACCTCATGAGGTTCAACAAGGCCAAGTGCAAGGTCCTGCACCTGGGTCAGGGCAACCTCTGCTATTAATACAGGCTGGGAGATGAAGATTGAGTACCCCAGAGGAGAAGGTCTTGGGGGTACTGGTGGATGAAAGATTGACATGAGCTGGCAATGTGCACTTGCAGCCCAGAAGGCCAGCTGTATCTTGGGCTGCATCCAGAGCAGTGTGGCAGCAGGTCAAGGGAGGTGATTGTGCCCCTCTACTCTGCCCTGGTGAGACCCCACCTGGAGTACTGCATCCAGCTCTGGAGTCCTCAGTATGGGAAAATTATGGTCCTCTTGGAGACGGTCCAGAGGAGGGCCACAAAAAGTTATCAGAGGGATGGAACACCTCTCCTATGAGGAAAAGCTAGGATTGTTCAGCCTAGACAAGACTCCAGGGAGACCTTATTGTGGCCTTTCAGTACTTAAAAGGGACCTATAAGAAAGATGGGGCAACACTTTTTAGTATGGGTAATGGTTTTAAACTAAAAGAGGGGAGATTAAGGCTAAACGTGAGGAAGAAATCTTTTATAATGAGGGTGGTAAAATACTGAAACAGGTTGACCAGGGAGGTGGTAGATGCACTATCCCTGGAGACATTCAAAGCCAGTCTGGATGTGGTTCTGAGCAACCTGATCTAGTTGAAGATGTCCATGATCATTGCACGGGGGGTAAGACTAGATGAACGTGGGAGGTCCCTTCCAACCCAAACTGTTCTATGGTTCTATGATTTTATGAGTCTATGAATCTATGATTCTATGATCCTATTTTAGGGATGCCCACAGAAAAGTAACATTAAGTGTTTATAGAAACCATGAGTTCTCATGCTTCTTCACATGTTTATCACCTGTGGGTCAACTAATTTTATGATTGCCAGTTTCTGAGTCTGATTGACTCTCCCCTGAAGTTGTTTTGTTATTGTCAGAGGTTGTACATGGATCTGACCAAGTGATCGTCTGATCAATGGTCTGATCAAGTCTGTGAATTCCTAGCCTAGGAAACCAATCAGTAATGATATCATTACAATGAATTGTCTCAATCATGATTAGATTTGCAGATGGAAATTCTGCAGGAACATATATGTTTAAGCATGAAGGGAAAATATGTCTTACTAGGAGTAAAAGTGTTATCTGTATCCCAAAGTCACATAAAGAAGCCTAGCTCAGGAAAGTAGCATCATAGAATAGTAAGCTCATGATGAGGGTATTTAGGATATCAGGTTTAATTCTTTGCCTGCCCTAAATGGATTTAGATGAAAGTCAATTAAGACATATATTGAGCTATTGTTCTGGATCTATTTTGAAGTGTTTTCATGTCAAACTCCTCATTTTTTTCTTCAGCTGAAGGCCCACAATCCCCTTATCTACCTACCACAATAATGAATAGCTAAGATATATTGTCAGGAACCTCTAGCAATAATACCTTATTGAAGGGTGACAGTACATCTTATTTGCTGCTGCTGTCACTTCCAAAGACATAATGAATTTACATTGTTGCTATTCTGATGCTCAGAGACACCACTGACATTTATGGCTTAAGGCAATGGTTTACATTGGTTTTGGTGGGAAGGACATGCTCAGTCCTTTACCACAGCTCAGCTGAAGAGTGACAAATTTTTATTTCCAGGTAGCTCAATTGCTTCAGACTGTGTGACCATATCCCTCAGGCAGGTACTTCCACTGATGTAAATGGTTCTTACTGGAAGAAACTCTTCTGAAAGTAATTTTTCTTCCTGTTATCTCCCCACTGTAAGTGGGACAGCTTGTACTAGACAGAATTCTGCTGACTAAACTGAATGTTCGTGTTTCCCTCTCTCCTTTCTCAGTTATCACGCTGTGCTGTATCTTCAAGTGCCGGATTCCCCGGACAAGGAAAGAAATTGAGGCACGATACGCTCAACGGCAAGCAGCCAAGACATATGCTGACAAACTGGACACTGTGCCACCACTCAATGAGCTGACAGAGATCCCTGGAGGTACTTCCCATACCCACACCTACACGAGACCCATGTCTTTTTTGGGGATTGCTTTCTGTATGCATGAATAAAAAGGGTTAGGTCTTCCTTTAGCCTAAATCAGTGTGGCTTCTTGGACACAACCATTAAGATATTGTCACGGCTTAGTAAACCCCTCACAGTCACATGCACTAAACCTGCAGCATTTGTGGCAGCAGGCACTGTCACTTAGATGAAAGGGACAGTTTGTCCATTGGTACAAGTCAAGGTCATGCCTTTGAAGTTTATATTTAAAATTTCCAGAGTCTGATTCATTTTAAGGGTCAGTTCCTGGGTTGGCAGATGTCAGCAGGAAGAAAAAGTTGTTATAGTCACACTACCAATAAATGGCTTGCCTTTCTTTGATGGCCAATAGTATTTCTGTCACTGGTCTCTGCTGCTCTCACTCATCTTTCCTGGTTCTGTACCCTAGGCTCTACTGAAACTCTCCTAACTCTATCTGGTCATGTCCACTCCAGACCTCTCAACTCCCTGCCTGTTGTGAAAGAAGAAGATGAAATGGCCCTGCAAGGAAATTAGGGGACTGTCTTCCTGTCTGTCTGTGGCTTCTCTTTTCTGATGCAATCCATCATGCCTTGGACTCTGCTTCTCGGTTCCCTTTCTGCATTTGACTTCTGTTTTCTCAGTACCTTTTAATGAACTTTTATTCTCTTCCCCGTGTCTCTGCAAACCATGTGAACTGTAGCTTTAAAGGTACTGGAAGTTTCCTTAACTCAAAATGTGATGCTCCAATCCATGAAACCCGTGAAAGAGGCAGATAGCAGAATTATAGAAATTTAGTTCTACACCAGCAAAATACAGAACTAAGTGCTTAATAGTAGGATTTTGCACATAACTCAGAATTTCAGAGGCATTCAGACATTGGACTGTGCCCCTATTATAAACCGATGATGGCCAGAATACCCTTTGGAGTTGAACCCAACTCACATAAATAAGTCCTTCTCCACAGGGTTAAATTCTTTCAACCTCCTTTAAAGTCAAAGGTCATCTCAAGGTCTAGTTAGTGCGCTCTTAAATGAATGAACAGTACTAAACACATGGAAGTGTTTAGTATTGTATCCTTCAGTTTCCTGCCCAAAAGACCAAATTCTGACCAGCTATCAATAGGTCCCAGAGTGTAAAAGATCATGTGTCTAGATAGCAGAAAGTCAGACCACTCATTTGCTGCTGCGTCCTCTTCCTGCCTAGCTGTTACTCCTGGAAAACCAATAAATTAGTGATAAGAAGAATGATCTGGAAGAGATAGAAAGGGTATTTGGGCACTGAAATGGCTGTTTCACCCCAGAATGCTAACAAATTTTGTTCTCCTGTAAGCAGCCTGTACATCCCATGAACATGTACATGTACTACATCTGAAGGCTGGCTATTTGGTGTACATTTAATCAGACCATGATAAATTGCAGCATGAACTCATTAATAAATTACCATAAGAATGCAATGTATGGGAAGTCAGCTATACCATAAAACTACTTAAACATTTATCCAATTAAATGTATAAGTGGACTAGTTGACCACCGATAGACCTTTGAGAATCCTAGAATTCTGGTTATGGCATGGCACAGGGTAGGAGGCTGTTAGATGGCATGTTGCTGAATGGCTGATGATGTCTGGTAATTGCTCATTAATATATGTTCTCTGAAGCTTCTAGTCCTATGGGACTAGGCAGATATAAACCTGCCCAAATTGCCCTGAAAGATGTGGTACTGGGGTAGGAGTCATCTGTCTACAAGTACATTACCACATATATGAAGAAGTTTGCATCAGCACTAGTTGTTTATTCCTTTATCCACAGTGGAAAAATAAGAAGGATGTGATTCCTTTCATGGTAGGGGAGATGCTAAAGTGGAAGAGGTAAATTGTGCCTTAAAAATGCCTGTATGTCTCCAACCCTGGGGACCCAAAAGACTGATTCAGCTATCAGTGCCTAAACTGTTAGAAGCAAAAGCTTTGTGTGATCAAACCCCCTGGTTTGACTTCCTTCTGAGATTAGCATGTACCCTGTGCCCAGAAAAGTTTTACTACATGATTTAAGCAGTACAATGGAAAGTATGTAAATCTTTGGGCTTCATCTCTGTGCTGTTATTCTCATCTATACAGAGTGTGATACTCTGCTGTGTTGCCCCACTGACATTTGGCAATTCATGTTGATTGATGTGGTCATAAAATAAAATGTATGTATTTGCTGACTATTTATATACTTATACCTTGACAATCCCTGGTAGATCCAGTCAAGGCCAGAGAAATTACTTGAGTGATTTTAATTACTGAGTGGCCATTAAATGCTTTAAAGATTTATGTAAATGTCAAATGCTATTAATAATTAATATATTGCAACACTTCAACACTCATTTCTTGGCATTATTTTATCCTACTTCACATTTACCATGTTGGAAAATTCTAGCTGTCACATTGGAAAATGCCAAATGGGTCTCCACGTGCTTTTTGAGTGGCATATATGGCAAGCCCTTTTACTGGACATAAATAAAATGGAATTAAGGTTTCAGTGTATAAAATGTTATATACAAATTAATTCATTTGTGCTCTGTCTCCCAGTCTGGGAGAAGTACAAGCAGGACCCAGGCTTAGCTCTGGGTGGAGATGTACTGTCTGGGTCCATGGCCTGGTTGATCTTCAAGTATTCTGGTTTGAGGCTGCTCCAGCTGACATTTTGGGGAGTTCACCTGGTTCCTACCATATTTATTTAGGAAGCAGACAATGTGGTGGGTTTTTATAATTATTTCCTCTCTCTTTTTTTTGTTGTTTTTTTTTTAATTTCTTTTTTATATGAGATGTCAGGATTTTGTCTGTGGTTATGAGAAATATTCTATATTATTCTCCTCCAATTTTTATGTACAAATGAATTGCCAGTTCACAAGGTCAAAAGATACTATCTTTTTTAAGTGTGCACAGTGAAGGAATAATTTAGGTAAGCATAATAAATTCAGGTAATACATTGCTGCAATTTGAAAGTCCCACTACAGACATCCATAGTGTTGAGAGATTTGGGGCTGCTTAATCAGGTTGGTGTCTAGTGGCTCCAGGTAGGGGCTGAGACATGTCACCAAATGGTCCATACTAAATCACCTCCTAAGCCAGTTCACTCTTATCTTTCCTTAGCCTGTGACAAACATGAAATAATTTTACTCCTGCTAGGTGCCAGCTGAAGAAAGCTAAATGGTGACCGATCATCCTCCATTTGCTGAGGTCACTCCTAGGTCATTGCTATATCTTGGCTGATTTTAATTATAAAGTTGTGTTAACATGTTTATCTATTTACATATTTGAGTCATACTGGGGATTTTCAGAGAAGGAGGTAATGGGAAACTTAAAATGTTTTCACTTGTTTTTGACAAACTTCATACTCTGCTGGTCTTAAGCAAAGGAAAAAAATTCCATAAGGAATATATGAAATATGATCTGTGTTTAAGTGTCAAATTCCTTCTTGAGATGAGAGCTCAGTTTATCAGCCTCTGATTTCAGAAAAAACACTTCCAGTAGAAGGAAAATAAAAAAGATGAGGAAGAGTTTTCTGCTACCAAATCTTTTGTCAGAATAATTAAAGTCTTCTCGCCTGAAATGTGGGAGCTGAATCCAAGATCATAGAATCACTGAACCATAGAATGGTTTGGATTGGAAAGGACCTTAAGATCATCTAGTTTCAACCCCCCTGACATGGTCAGGGACGCCTCACCCTAGAACATGTCACCCAAGGCTCTGTCCAACCCGGCTTTGAACATTGCCAGGGATGGAGCATTCGCAGCTTCCTTGGGCAACCCATTCCAGTGCCTCACCGCCCTCACAGCAAAGAACTTTTTCCTTATGTCTAACCTGAACTTTCCCTGTTTAAGTTTAAGCCCATTCCCCCTTGTCCTGTCACTAAAGTCCCAGCATCCCTATAGCCCCCCTTCAGATACTGGAAGGCTGCTATGAGGTCTCCACGCAGCCTTCTCTTCTCCTGGCTGAACAGCCCCAACTTTCTCAGCCTGTCTTCATACAGGAGGTGCTCCAGTCCCCTGATCCTCCTCGTGGCCCTCCTCTGGACTTGTTCCAACAGTTCCATGTCCTTTTTATGTTGAGGACACCAGAACTGTACAAAATACTCCGAGTAAGGTCTCACAAGAGCAGAGTGGAGGGGCAGGATCACTTCCTTCGACCTGCTGGTCACACTCCTTTTGATGCAGCCCAGGATACGGTTGGCTTTCTGGGCTGTGAGCACATATATGCATATTTCTATATAAAAATATTTCATAACTAAAGGTATTATAAGCTTCCTATAAATAACACGGCTTGTTTAAACATGCCAAACTAGGGCTAACTAACAGTTAATTACTGTATATCTATAGTGTGTTGCTTCAATTAATTACAGTGGGTCAGGTGGGAAGCCAGTCCCATGGTCACTGGACTTGGATATAACATAAAGCTAAGCCTACTTTGTGGTCTTCTGCTGGGCAAACCAACTTCTGCTTTTCTATCTCCTGAAAGCAAATTACCTAGCAGAATTCCTGCTGTCCACTCTCACCTGCAGGAGACATACCCCATATACAAAAATTAGAAAAGCCAACCAACAAAAAAAACAACCCCTAAACCCAAGACATGTCTGTATTGAATTGCATGAGAGATGTTTCTGTTCCTTCTTGTGGAAGGAGATAGCTCCACACTGGCATTATTGGGAAATGCTTATGGACTGTGCTTATAGCTTTCATGAACCAGTTCCTAACAAGAAGAGCCATTTCCTACAATAGATCCACATCTCAACTCTTGAAATTACTGGTTCTGCTTTATCCCATTAGTCTATGTTCTCGAAACAAAGGCATGAAAAGCTGCTAGTCAGTGAGCAAAACACTGGACACAGCCCCAGTACAAATATTTTCTCTTTGTCCAAGATTTGCCAGCAGAGAGCAGAAATTTTGCCCTCCTCCTGGCTACTGTCAACCCAAGTTAACTGCTTTTATATTTTCTTTTTCTGTCTTTTCATACAGCTCAGGTTGCAGAAGAAAAAAAAGAAGAAGTTCCCACTGTATCTGGAAAAGTGGACAAAGCTCAGGGTAAAAAAGATGGATCCAAAGGCTCCAAGAAGAAAGATGGTGAAAAGGACCAGAAAGAAGGATCCAAGAAAGAAGGAAAGGATGGAGCCAAAAAGAAAGAAGGAGAAAAGGGAGAAAAGGGAGAAAAGGGAGAAAAGGACACCACTGACAAGAAACAAGGTGGTGGGAAGAAAGGTGAAAAAGGTGAAGCAGTAAAATCAGGAGGAGACACCAAAACTAATGGCAAGGGCGGTGGGAATGCTAAAGCCCCAGCAAAGAAGAAGTGACCCTGATAAAAGGCAGTGCTGGTAGTCTTTCAGGGAGGGCACTGTCAAATTGCTGTGGGTAGGGCACTGGAAGCAGACAGGGACATGCTGTCTCCATATACTTGGGCTGTTGAGTGCCTCTGGGTGTATGGATTTATTACATTTTGAACCCACCAAAAGCAAATGTGGCCATTTGGCAAGACAGTATCTTGTACATAAAATACACTGTGAACAACTGGAAACAAAGTGCAACTTGGAGTGAGAGTTAGGACTTTGGATAAGCATGGAAATGCACAAAGATGAAGGTCTAAACTAATGCGAGGACAAGATTCATTTAAAATTTGTTATTCTTGAGGACCTTAAGGAGTTTGAGAAATATTTGTTAATATTCACCTCCTTCTAAATGGGATTTGCATGTGAATAGGGATAAAGTAAATTCTGGATGCTAAAACCCAAAGAATGGACTTTTCTAAATCATAGCTCATATGGTTTCTGAGAGGTGGCTTGGACACATGAGAGAAATCTTACCTTCCTTCTCAAGTGCCTCTTTCTCTGGACTACTGAAGGGAATATAAAGAACTGAATATCTCCCAGATGATTTATCCACATTTTTTTTCTGATGAAAGAAATATAAATCAAGCTGTAAGGGGATGTACACCGAATAAAAAAAAGCAAACAACAAACTGCATCTGTGCTGCTGTAAGCAGTAGCTGTCCTCAGCTCATCATCCCTTCAGAAAACACAGATGACAAGACCCCACTGGGAAAAAAGGGATGTGAAGATGCTCAGCATACTGAAGCAGAAACCTGGGGTCTCAGGAGAGCAAGGCTGAATGCATTCATGTCTTCACTCTTTCCCTGAGCAGTTTTGAAGCCAGGGGTTTTGCTACACTTTTATGTGGCTGCTATTTCTCTCAGCTCCTGGAAAATTTTAAAGAGTAGTTTTATCAGGAGCAGTTTTTCTCCTAGTGTTTTTGTAAATATCTCAGCAATTTTTGCCTTAAGATTAACAGCGATGGGGTCTTTTGCTAAAAAGCTAATGGAGAATAATTTGCAATTAATTGCAATAATATTGTGATGACTAGAGCTCTACCTGTTATATCTGCTGGATACACCATCTCTGAATATACTGAGTGGCATAGCTTTGTCTCCTGCATGGAGCAAGGAGGCAGTAATCTCCAGTAGTTTATTTATCTCAGGTCCCATAAGTTAGATTTGCATTAATCCAACTGCTTTCTATTTACCCGATATTTTTAAGACAGAGAGCTGATCTGCCACTGAAAAGGTATTTCTCTTTCCTTCCCCTTCTCTCTTCTCCTGCCCAACCTATCCTGGGAGAAAATGAGCCTAGCAAATGAAGACCATGTCCTGCTTTGTTAATGAGCCTCAGCAAAGCCACCAAAAGCACCATGAAGGGTGCTATAAGCTACTGAAGGGTGGTATAAGACTTGAGGAACAAGGATGGGAAAGATATTCACAAGCACAGAAATATTTACTACGAGCATGAACAGTGGCAGCTGACTGCCTCCAGATATGATCTGCCATGCTAGAGGAGTACAGGTAGAAGCCAGCTTCAGAAATTCTGCATCTGTATGCAGACACATGGTTGGAGTCCTTTATCTCCATCTATTGCAATGATTCTAAATGATGAGTGTGAATATGTATGTTATAGACATCTGTGTTTAAGTCTGCATCTCAGTCCTACCCCTAAGTTTTCACATCCTGAAGATGAGTGGGTATTGCTGCTTCCAGGCAGGAGCAGAGGACCTGTTTTCAATTTCATTCTCAGTTTGAGAGGTCTCAGATATCCAGGTTTATGGCTGTGGTCTGTATGTAAGTCCAGGAAAGGGACTTTATCCACCTTTTCAGTTGGAACAAAAGGGGAATACAAGAGGCATACAGCCAGCTGGGAAGGAGGCGACCCTGCAGGAGCACAGGTCTGCAATCCAGTCTGTATGTGTATGTGTATATGCATATGTAAATCCTGAGGAGGTATCAGTTCGTATTAACACACCTTCACTTAGGGAGCTGCAGAGACACCTAGTGCCAGTTAATGAAAACACAGATATGGCAGGTGTCAATCATATTCCAGTTACATGCTCTCTGCTGTTCTCTCCCTTAATTGATTTCTTTCAGAAGGTGTCACAATGAAAATTAAGGAAAAAAAGGTTTTAAAAATTGCATTCAGGCCATACTCTGCCTGTGTGCAGAGATATCACTCCTTGGGACATGCACAAGGTTGCATGAGCTCACTGTGTGTTGTGGGGGGGTTGAGTGGATGCTTATGCCTTACAAACTCCAGTTTACAGGTAAAGCAGCTGCAGGATGGGATCCATCTGTGGTTTAGGCAGGAAAAACTGCTTCCCTGCCCTGCAGCTGAAAACATGCTGCCGTGCCATTAATCCTGGTATTAATGCTCTTTGGGATGTGCAGAATGAGGATACTGACTCAATCTGTACCTATTTGGTGAGAGGGAAGAGGAGCAGATGTATTCTGGATCCAAAATCTTCAATGAAGAAAATCTGCCCCTTTACAGCTAGTTCTTTCCTTAACCCTCACCTCTCTAATAAAACCACTGTCTCTCTCACACTAAAAAACACCTCAAAGCTGAAAAAAGCCCAACCAACCAAAACCAACCAACCTACCAAAAACCCCTACTAAGAAACCTGCATCATGACTACTGGAGCCTTTGAAATTAATCTTAATTCATTTCTGCCAAGATCAGATGGCAAATGTTTTCAAAGCCTGTATCTATAAGATAACATACATAGGTTGTGTCTTTGTCTTACTGAAAAAAAGACGATGTGTTAAAAACCAAAAGTTTCTCCTCTCAGAAGGACCAACCCTGGGTAACCTGAGGGGTATATCAACTTCTGTATGAGAGTGTATGGGTGGAATGAAAGGATTACATTAATGAGGGTTGCAGACTCTCAAGAAAACAACCTGCCTAACAAAACTTGTAATAATGCCCAAAGTGGGCATGGAGGGCAGTAAATTTACAGGTATCATCCAAAACCAGTTCACATTTTCCCCTAGATTGTATCACAGTGGTCAGGTGGAATCTGAATGCCAGCTCATGGTGGTTGTAAAGTAACACTGCTGGAGTGGAGCAAACTGACCAGCAGCAGACTGGGAGCTGCTTTTTACACCACCAGATGGGGAAATTGCGTTGGAGAAATTACAGCCACAGCTGCTGAAACTTTGCAAACTGAATCATTAATGACAAGATTGGAGATTACACTGATTTCTCTGAGAAAAGTGCAATAACAAATCCCAGAGGCCGAGAGCAGGAGTTAAGACCCAAGGCCCAGACATCCAAGTAGTAATGGCAGTAGCTCTGCTTTAATTTAGGTTAGCCCGGTGGTATGTGCATGGCAAAGGTGGTGTGGAGAAAACGAGATACTACAGAACCAAGACTTTCAGGATCTCCTACTCGACATATTCCATAGCTTTCCACTAGAGGGGACCTTGTTCTTCCTCTAATATCTGGAGACAGTTTTAAAGGTAGCTTATGGTTGATACACCTTCTCTTATTTGTGATGTTAAATCAAACCTGGCTTGGGTAACATCTCTTCTTTGGTTTAAAAAAAAAATTCATGGCATTGGCTTATCTAGCCTGAGCCATCACATCTTCTTTCAGTATTGTTTTTCCACTGGTTAATAAGAGGTAAGAGCTTGTAGCTTAATAGCCCAAGGACATAATTAATGTAAGAGACATCAAGAAAATAGTCATTGGCTTTGGTGGGTGAAACTTAAGTCAGCCTAGCTAGGTGTTCCAAGGAGTTATGGTGAGGATCACAAGTCTGGATGAGTAGGTCAATAGGAGAAGATGGCAAGCTAAAGCTTTTTAATTTAATTCTTGGTTCATTTGGGAAAGAAGCTCATGGAAAAGCTGTCTGCATTTTTTTATTCCTGCTCCCTTTTCCTCATTGGTTTTGCTTTTAGTATTAATGAAAAGCTGTGAAAATCTAAGCATCAGTTCTGTGCTGCTCTGCCACAAGGTGCATCTAATGCTAGGAAATGTCATGATACCTTTTCACCACTAAATTTCAGCTTTCTCCAAAAGATTAAATCATCTGGAGTAGTTACAGCTGCCTCAGATGCTCTCATGGAAAAATACGGTCTTTTCTCCTCTCTTTGCTTTGTTACACAGTGTGACTCTGAATAAGAATTGCTGTTTCTCATTGATTTCATCCTACAGATCTAAGTATTAGAAGCGTCTTAGCTTTGCTTTCTGAAAGTAGACTCTCTGTTCCCAGCTCCCTTTTGAGATGTAGCAAAGAAGAAATCTGTATTACCTTTGCTGTCCTGATCACCTGATTAGATCCATGGAGAACAAACAAGGTCTTCACTGGGACTGGGACATTTCCCCTTCTACCACATGACACATGGAGTCCCAGACATTAAAACCAGGGTTTTTTTCCTTCCAGTGGGCACAAAAAGGAAAGGATCAACCCCTATGTTTCCAGGGCTGTAGGAGCTTTTCATCTGTAGGTCAGGTTTGTCTTTATGTTATTGACATGGGTGGCTATTTTTAAAGAGATAGGGTTTTGTAGGCTTAAAGGAAAGGGTCTTTTTCAAAATAAAGAGCTGCAGAAGCTTTCCTTTCCCTCTTTTTTATTTTTTCTTTTTTTTTTTTTTTTTTTCCCTTCTTTCTGGGGGAATGGGGAGAGAAACAGGAGTTTTTTTAGCATGTTCCTGCAAATCCACCAGCCAACTAAACACCCTCATGAAACAGAGCTCCAAAACCCCTAAGGTGTCTTAGAGATGCATCAGACAATAACTGCAAGATAACTGTGGGTCTCTACTGTTCTTAATTTTAGATGGCATTTTGCATGGCACTCCCCTCATTTCTACACATAGACATGAGAGACTTTTATGGTCTTAATATTTTCTGGCTAAACAAAATACATCTTCATTTGATGAGTCCCTGATGTACTGAGTCCCTTAGCCTGGACTCCTGCAGACTGAGAAGTGTCATGCAGGGTAAATGGGGAACAAAAGGCAATCTGCTTAAAGTCAGAAGTGAAATATGGGACAATAGATGGGACCTGAGCACTGATCTTGTGAAATAGGGCTTTGTGTCCTTAAGATGCT